GCCTACAGGGCAGTAGGTAGAGTCCAACAATGCTGCTTCCTCACCAGAAATTTCTTTTCATCTTACATTATAAAAGGAGATAAGATCATTTGTTTTTAAATGATTACTGTTCAAAAGGTTTATTGTTTTGGGAACAGTACAAATTTTTTAGTTTGTAAAATGTGCGAGGTTACTTTTGTTTCTTGTATTTCTAGTAACAAGGGCAAGTAAAATGACAAATCTTAAAGAAAACAATTTGTTTTCTAGGGAAGAAGTTCTATGTGAGACTCTACTATTTGTTTTTCTCCAACCACTAGAGCTTAGGAAAACCAAAGAACTGACAGCTTTGGACAGCAGTGCCTTCAACAAGTCTTGCCAGTGTTGTTTTTTAGGCATTAGAAGTGGGTTTGCTATCTTGTAGGTGTTTCAATAACACTGAAGCTATTTGTCCTTAAATTGTGTACAGAGCTTTTCTGGTGACCAGGAGGCAAGAATTACTGGAAACAGGCGCATTCCAGACACTATGCTTTTAAAGGACACACTGTAATTCTTGTTATGGGAGACCGTTCCCTTTCAAATCACTTACAATATTACAAAGGTACTAACGACCCCCTCCCCCACTTCCTTTACTTATTTTTGATAAGATATCAGGAAAAATCTGTGTTTTAAAAATTACATTTATGTCGTCTCAGCTGCTTCTTCCCCGTGGACATTTCATAATACTTGTAAAGCTTAAAAACATAAAAAGCAAATTAAAAAAGAAGTTTCTTTTGTATTATTTGTGTTTGTTTTTGTGTGTGTGTTTGTGTTGTGTGTGTATGTGTGTAGAGATCCACGGAAATCCAAAATTAAATTATTTCAGGTCTTGTTGAAGATGAAATCAGCCTCCACTCACCCTCAGGGGGCTAAGCCATGCTGGCACATTTGCAATGTGCTTTCTGATGAATGGCTGTTCACCAAGACAACGAAAACTTTCCTCGATAATGTTGCACATGCAAGGCAGAGCACCTGTAAATGCTTTTGGCAATAGAATTCGAAGAACTTGGAGGGTTCTAAGAACATGAGCTTTATGAAATGGAAACAAATTCTAGACGTGCAATTTGTTTAACTATCTAGCTTTAATAATTTCCTCAAATATGTGAATCTTAGTAATCTCAGACAGAGTTCCAGTTTAAAATTTATTATCGTGGCTTAATTCTCCCATGTACCCCCTTACAAAATTCTCTTTTAAAATAAGGCTAGTTTTGAGTTAGTAAGTAAAGAAAGATCACTCTCTGTTTTACTATCATGATCATTTTCCCTTTCTTATCTGGACTTAAGAGTGAGAAGCTGAAGCTTTACATCTGAATGGAAAAAGGAAGAGTGTCTTCTTGTACTGAAGAAATCATTCTCCATGGAGCTTTGACTGAGGACCTTCCAATAAGTTGATTATCCAAGAAATCAATCAGGCTCTACTGTCATGACAACATAAACAAGACCAACTGGTGTTTTTAGTATAGTTGAATCAAAATTTTGTAATGGCATTTCTTAACCATCTGATTTAATTAGTTACATTAATAAAGCATGGAAAATTTGAGATTTCAAGGAGTAAAAGGAAAAACATAAGCTTACTCAAAATTACAAAATTTTGATCCCACAAAATTCTGGGCCACTTGAGAGAAGGAACATTGTTGTCCTTTTCTTGTTTTCCCTACCACCCTGCCGTGTTTTGAGCACGGAGTAATAAATGTATTATTTACAAACCTGTGAATGGAGTTAATAAATGGCCAACTTCTCCTTTAAAACTTCTTAATGGAGTTAGTTAATATTCATTCATTCTTTCATTATCTTTCTCAGTGAAGGAAATGTAAGTACACACCTCTAACAGCCTTACCGATTTAGTGATTCTTTTTATCCAGTTCTCCACAGTGCAAATGAACAGTTTTATGCACAATGCTTTTCTAGATATCAGATTCTTCAAACAAGAATAGAAACATTGCCTAACTCAGATTATAGAGATATATCAAAATATGTTTATTCATGTGTTCCCTAGGAAGGATGGTGATAAATAGGGCAAAACAAAGTTTTACATGCATATGATGCTGAAAGATATATTGAATTCTTTCTCTTATAGTTAAGAAACGGTTGTTGAGACATTATTTCTCATTCAAGTTTATCTATAAAGCCAGTAACACTCTGAAATCATCTCTTTTTTAAAGGATGGAAGTAAATACTTCAGTTGCCTGAACGATGATGTTTTGGGGAATTCATCGCTTGTATACCTTCTTGGTAATCTTGTAAAATCTTTTTAATAACATTAAAAATGTATAAACATTTTCTATCTGATCAATATTTATCTTCCACGGCTTGGTTTTAAAACTGGAAAGCCAATGAGCAGTGTTATCTTCTTATTTTGCAGTGAATACATAATAAACAAAATGCAACATTTTTATATCTTAGGTAGGTTTTCCGGTACTTTTCCAACTCGCAAGTTACACTATTGCCTATTTTATGGCACAAACCTTTGTTTTATTTTGTATAAATCAATTAAGAGTTAGATAGAGGGTATTTAAATTCTATTCCATACTTGTTGGAATTTCTTTTTTAAAAAGAGATTTGTGCATGTAGAGGAGGTCTCTTAAAAGAAAAACAAAAGGTATCTGGGAGACCTGGAAATCTTTGCTTACAGCCCTAGAATTTGGGGAATTGGGGCAGGTCTCAAGTTGTGGTAGCATGCCCTTGGAAAAGCATCATTAGTTCAACTTATTCTACAGAATGGACTACCTATGGAGTAATTTAATTAGTATCAATATTATCCTTCAGAGAAAAGCATAGCTTTGCAACCACTGTTGAAATTAAACCAAAGACTCCATTTACATGTATGCACCAAGTTGATGGAGTCTCTGATTTTGTGATTTTCAGAAACATTTGGTTTCTTTGTTAAGCCATACTGAGCCCGCTATTTAAACACCTGCCCCCTTTCCCTTCCATCTCCGAGCACCCAGATCCACGGTGTACCCAAATCCTGGCTTTCCGCTGCCTGAGATCTTAGTAGGTGGACCTACCATCTCTAACTCCTTCACAGCAATTGCTTCACTCCACTCCCCTGGACTTGCTTCTTAGTGGCACAGGAGAAGATAAACATACAACCACATCAAAAGCAAATGTAAATTAAATTTTGTTTTGCAAATGTTTTGGCACAAGATTGTTAGACACACTTGTAAAGAATTGGAAGACATTACGTAGCTATAGTTGGGAATAAAAATTTAGTGTCTTCACAAACATTGCAAGTCTTATAATTATTCAACATCACCATCATAATAATGAAACTTTCATAGTACTTTCTGAGTGCCAGGTCTGTTCTTAGCACTTTATATACGTTAATGCACAGATACCTCATTGCAGCCAAATAAGTAGAACTCTTGTATCCCCATTTTACAGATACGGGAAAATGAGACATTTAGAAGTTAAATAACTTGTTCAAGATTATACAGACAGTGAGTGGTAGAACGGGGATGGGAACCCAGTACACTGAGTGCTCTCCTTACGGCAGACAATCACAGTTGCATGAAAGAGCTCTTGAAATTCCCTTTATGAAATACAATTTAAATGACTCACTTATGAGCATTTTGCCCGTTCAGAACAACTAGAAGTGAAGAACTACTGCTGTTGACTAACAGCAAGTGACATCACAGTTGTTCATTTTGGCTGAAAATTAACATCAGCAGATTGTAAATATGGGCTGATAATGAATGTTCAAGATTCTGAAATAATTTGAAGTTTGGTAGTTACATTTTTTTCACCCGATTTAAGCCACTAGAAAAATGTCATATTAATTAGATAATTGTTACAATAATTTAAATTTAACCCAAATCTTTCTAGAAGACTAAATCATACAACCTCCTATTGATGCTTCATCAATGAATCCCATAGTCTCATGTTAATAATCCTATTAAAGTTCAAGTTACTCTTTCACCCCCATTGAAGGCCAGATGTAAGCCTGATTTGCACTTGCTGCCCTTAAGTATTAGGAAGGCTTTTTAAACCATACCCTAGATAGAGAAAAATGTGTATGTAGTATTGACAAAATCTGAAATGTAGTAAAAATAATGTAAAATCATTTGCTAGACTATTTTTTCTTCTTACATTTAAAAGATAATTTTGTACTTCAAAATATTATGTATTTGAGAATTTTAAAAGTCAAAACTAAAATAATACTAGATATAAAGCCCCATAGTCTTAAAATGGAATAGAATTATGAAAGTTTTTCTGGGTAGTGACCCACCTATTTCCCAAAGCTCCACTTGTCCTCTCATAGATGGAATCTAATGCATCCCTATAAATTCTGAAGAAAGAGAATATTGACCTATTAAAATTACAGCCGATAATAATTCCATTGTTTGCTTTTCAAAGAAGTTAGTAGTAAAGCTTATAATTTTTTTAGCTACTTGTAAAATTTGCTATTTCAGATTCTTTATTAAATTATTTCTTAGCTTGACCCTGAAACTATAGCATAGTTCCACGACAGGATAACAGATAGCTGGTAAACAGTATAAGCTCCTTTTGCAAACATTTTAGTATCGACTCTGAAACACGGACAGAAAGAGCTGGAAGTTTCAGAGAATCTAGGATAAATACAAAGACAAAAAGAAAAGTGTAATCCTTTCTGGTAGAAACCTATTTTCCTCATTATTTTGGGTCCACATTTGAATCTCTGATTGTCCAACTACATGTGGAGAGATGCAGAGAGCACTGCTTCTTGTTTCACTCTCTGTGCACTCCACTCCTCTCTGGGTAACTGTGGTAACAGGTCATAGGTACATACACAAAGTGCATGACTAGCGGCCACAAATAGCTTCTTTTGTCATATGCTGAAGAGGATATTAGAAAGATGAGGTTCAGTAACTGGGACAAGCTCTCGGGGCTGGGATGGGGTTGGACGCTGGGGCACTGTCATGAAAGGACCCACATACACACGATGTGCATCAGACCTCAGTGACATTCATTTCCAAGCTGTTAGGTTACCAAGGAAGGAGCCTTACCCGGGCCTTCTGCTCCATTTCTAGCATTAATCTTTCATGTTGCTCAGCTATGGCCAGTGTCGCAGAATGGACCTTCTGATAGATCATTTCTCCTTCCCTTGTTTGAAAAGTGAATAGTCCTTCTCCTGTGTCACACATTCTGTGAGGATAGAGATAGGGAAAGAGATGGGTCTTCATGTGTTCAAGTGCGTAACAGTTCTCCATGTAAAAGATGCCCTCACCCTGTCATCCCCTCCACCTTGATTTTCATAGGAGCGAGTGAAGCAGATTCATCCTTGACCAAACCAACCAAGGAACCAACCAACCAACGCATCTTTAAAAGGTGCATGAGAATGAAACTAAGGGTAAAGATCCATGCACATTTGGATTTTTAAAGATGAAGTGTTCCCAACAGTGTGAAGAAACAGACAAAAGTGCTGCCAGTTATTACAGTGCATGTCTTACCAATATTTAAAGAATCAAAGCAAATAGTTGTTTTCTTTAACAGCCTTCACTCTGACACCATAGCACTGTCTCCTATGACTCGATAGCTCTTGAAACGTCAAGAACTTAAGAAAAAATCTGCAATTTTATACTCAGGTAGTAGGAACCAAGGAGAAGATTTTTTTAGTTTAAGGATTTGCATACATAGTTTGAAGCTTTTACTTAAACTGAGGAATCTTTACGTAAATCTCAGTATAGCCTAAGAAATAACATGGCAGAGAGGAGACTCCGTTTGGATGTGAGAGTATTGTCTGAACTTGGCCCTGCCACTTACCAGCAGTGTGACCTGAAGCAAGCTAACTTGCCTGTACCCCCTTCGCACAATCTCTAACAGGAAAAATAACAGTACCCAGCTCATCAGATCCTTACGACAGTGGAGAGACTTGATACAATATTTATAGTGTTCCTTAGCGGATATTAAGTGCTCAAAAATGTTAGTTATCATTCTTTTCATCATAGAGAAAGCATGGCACTAATCTCAATATCCACCATAGAGAAGTGCTTGGCTTAAATATAATATTTTTATCTGATGGACTATTATACAACTGTTACTATGTCATTTCTGAGAGCATATAACATTAAAACATTCTTTTGGCCATGCCACAGGGCTTGCAGGATCTCAGTTCCCTGACCAGAGACTGAACCTGGACCACGGCAGTGAAAGCCTGGAATTCTCACCACTAGGCCACCAGGGAACTCCCTAAATTTCCTATAATGTAAATTCAAGAGGAAAAGAAAATCAGAATGCAAATTCCTTTTCAATTATTTAACTATAATTACCTTTTAAAACATAGTCTTTTTTATTGGATTAAAGCCACTGACAATTTTTTATTGGACTAAAGCCACGGACAATTTCTCAGGCAACAGGATTATGGTTAAGTTTTATTAATAAAGACATTCTAAAATAAAACATATTTTAAATTAATATTTTAAACCAGCTTTTAAAAATAATTGGACGCCTTCAGAAAGACCCGCTGAATATCAATATGATGTTCCCAATCGGAAACCGGACCTTAACTGGACTGCTGTGTTGTTGTTTTCAGGCTACAACACCAAAAGATTTGCACAAAATGCTCATGAGGCCAACCTCTGTCTTCCAGCACCAAAAAGATTTTAGATTCTACCTTATGATTCTCCAAGGGGTTTTAGTAGAAAAGAAGTGTCTCAAGAGGCTTCAGAAATTATAGAGGCTGTGACTGCCATCCCTCAGGGCTCCATAGAGCCAGCACTTAGCTTCTGTGAAAGAGATCTTAATAAAATTCACAAAGCGTGAAATGGAAAGTCTGAGAGAAAAATGAAGAGTTTTCACAAAGTGAAACAAATGAGCTTTCTTTGTTGATTCAGAGGGGTAAAAAACTCCAACAGCTGGAGCAGGCAAATCATTGATGAGTGGTGAGCCCATCTTGTTTGAGGTTAAGTTTTGTTCATTGTTATCGGAAAAACACTCCTTATGAGCCTTCGGAAATGAGATAACGAAGACACAAATTGTTATTCCATACTCAGTCACTGAGTTGCAAAGGTCTAACACTTAGCACTTCCTGGGACTTAACTCTGCCCAGTGAAGGAGTCTGAAAGCTTACAGAAGGGTTTTATTTCCAGCCTCTGAAATAAAAACTACTGTAAACTTCGTCCATCGATCAAGAAACCAGGAATTAGAACATGCCAGCATAAAAAGCAAAGAACTTTTAGGTAGAAGGGGCTCTTTTTTAAACAATAGGTACCTAAAGCCAAGCTGAAATCAAACTTCTTCAGTGTAACTGGCTCAGATTTATGACTTCTGTCAGCAGTGTTGGAAGAAACAGTTTAGGTTTTTCCCAGTTATTGTTTAAAACATGTTCTCTCAGGAGTGGTAAGGAACAGATATCGAGATTTTTCTTATACGTCTAAAGAGTTTTGTGGTAGCGAGCCAGTACTAGAGAGGACAATGGGAGGAGGCATGAAATCATTCTGACAGCTATTGCCCCGCCCCTCGATCTGGTCCCCAGACCAGCAGCACCTGCACCTCTGGGAGCTGTCCAGAGTGCTGAAGCAGAATCTGCGTTTGACAATATGATTTGTACGCACATTGTAATTTGAGAAGTACTGGGCTATAGAACTCTTTCCACAGGTCACCATTTCATTCAAGGAAGTGGGAGATGATGCTTGGGACCCATAGGAGGACAAATTAGAAGCCATATTTGTGCAGCTTAAGACTTTGACATAACAAACTGAAGGTTAGAAAGGAAGAAATGTGACGAAAAGGACAAAAACACCTCTAGAAGAATCCTTTCCTTCATTTGGAGAGAGCTAAGATAGAGGTGCTAGTTACATTTGAATATCCTAACCCCTCACCACTAACATGCACATTCCTCAACTGCATTGACTTGAAGAATAAGTGAAAATATGGACAATGTATGTTTGTCCTGACTCCAAACTAGAATTTTATCGAAATGTATAGACAATTACAAATGATATCTCTCTTCATACTTAACATGGTATTTGCACAAAATTAATACTTCTTCTTATCTAAAATAAAATGTTAAAGAGTAGAATCTCTAAGGTCCCTTTCAGCTTTAAGGAATAATCTGGGGCTTCATAAAAATTCTAAGAAGTAGGACTGACACATTTATTTCCAGGTTTTTTTTTTTTCTTTTCTGACATTGTGATATAAGGGACATTATAATAGCATAGACTATAATAGTACAGTCAAAAGACTAAGGGTACAAATTTCAACAATCATGTTATGGCCTGTCATATTCATTTATCACATACTTATCTAGTACTATAAAGCCAGGCTCTGTCTTGGGCCTGGGGATAAAAAGGAGGGAACAATATACATGGCTCATTGCCTCTGAGGCTTTTTAAATGGTGGGGAAGATAAGCATTGTTCAGAAAATGACTCACTCACTGTGGTAAATGCTAGCAGGAAGAAGTACACGGCCAAGAGGAAGGCCATGGAAAGTTACTTCACCTATTTACTCCTCATGTACAAAACGGGGGTGACAAGACCTTGTCACAAGATTGTTTTTATTTTTCTTTTAATCAAATGAAGTAAAGTATGTGACAGTGGGCAGGAAAGGATTAATTCAGCAGGCCTGTGTTGCTCAAACTCTGCACATCTCGAAGAAAAGTCTGTTTGGGGGATGGTCCCTTGGAGGGTTTCTGGAATGCAACCCTGGAGCCTTTGTCATATTCAGTCTGATAAGAGTGTCTCTTGTGCCTGAGGCCTTGAGCCATGCTGTATCGGTCTGACCAGGTAAGTTTATCCTAACAAGGTGGTTCACCATGAATGCCTCTTTTGCTCTGGTGGTGGCTAGCGTCTGAGTGACTGAGGTTGTTCCTGGACCCTGAGGACACTGCATGCCCAACTAGCTGACCCTCAACCAAAACCTCAGACACCAAGGCTCGTGGGGGGCTTCCTTGGTTCACAACACCCTACGCTTACTGTCATGTATCATTGCTGTCCCCGTGTGACTGCACGGGAGGGTGTCTGGAGGCTCGTGCCTGGTCCCTCCTTGTCTGCATCCTTGTGTCTTTTCTCTTTGCTGATTGTAACATGTACCTTTCACTCTAGTAAACCGAAACTGTGTGCATAATAGTTTTTTTCTGAACCTTGCGAGTCTTTCTAGGGAATCATTGAGCCTGAGGATGGTCCTGGAGACTCCGCCACCCAAGACAGCCAGCAGGTGGTAGGTTGTTAATATATTTTGATGTAATAAGAATATTAAAAATCCTAGTCTTTTCCTTAAATGGCTCTTTTTCAAATTCCATTCCTCTAGGAATTTAAGAGGGCATGCTCTCTTTCTTTATCCCACCTCACCATTCCCTTCCAGAATCCCTTGAAATAACAGTACTGCCAGTCTCGTCTCTACTGTGTTCTAACAAGTAAGAAATAACTAGAGTTCCCTGTGAATGTCTGTATTCAGAGGAAACTAAACTCCAGGGAGGCACTCCATTATGTACGGGTCTCAAAGTTCCCTTCAAGCGGAGAAATAATCCTAAAAGATGGTGCCACGGAGGCAACGTCACTTGAGGAAAAGCCCCTACCATGTAATCGCTAGACCACTGCCCTCCTTTTCTTGTCCTTACGTCTCAAACTTAGCTCTTTAGGAAGGAGTGGCATCAGAATTCCAGCCTTTCTTCCAAATGGCAAGCAAAAGAAATTTACCAAGTGAGAAGTTAAGGAAACAGTTTAAGAAATGAAAATGGATACTTTAAAAGAATTCTCTGGGGGTCTTTAGACATAATTTCGCTACAGATGAATTTGTAAACCTCTGGCAATTTTGTCCATCTTCACAGCGTATAATTTCACCCCTGCAGTGAGTTTTGCAGTTTTGTATGTATATTTAGTGACCAAATATTTATCCTCCATGCACACAGAAATTTTAAACTCTCAGCAATGGTGTAAAGCAGGAGCACTTTCCTGAAAGCCAGTGGTGTTTCTATTCATTATTTACATTTTAATGTTTAATTACAGAAATTAATGAAATTCTTCAAAGCACAGCTCTTCTGCAGAGCAGTGAAACCCCATTAACAATTCTTTCCTGATAACAGTTTAATCTTTATTGTCATTTAACAATGCTAGCATTTTACTTTTTTTTTTAGCAGCTTTGAAAAGGCTGAAGTTTCTGTCTAAAGCTCTAGTGAGTCAGACGTTGATCCGTAGTAAAAAATTAC